TTGTCTGCCTTCCCCCAGCTAGAATGCATAATTCCTCAGGACAGGGATTTTTTTATTGTCTCCTAGTTGATCTCCAGTATCCAGGACAGTGCCACAGTCCACACGTGGTGCTCAGTAACTATTTCTTGAATTAATAAATTCATATACTGGCCTGGTGCCTGGCTAGGCAGTAGGGGTATAAATAAGACCCAGCTGCCTGCCCTGAAGGGGCTCACAGTCTGAGGAGGGAGGAGAGTAAAGACAAGTAAACAATGTGCTGAGAGGTGTGTGTTTGTGTGTGGGGGGGGTGTTATGGGTGCAGAGTCTCAGTTTGGCAAGGGGAGAATGTTCTGGGGATCTGTTGCACAGCAGTGTGAATACATTCAATACTACTGAACTGTACACATGAAATGGTTAAGATGGTAAATTTTATGGTACATGGTTTTTTAACCACCATTCAAAATAAGAAAACATTCTTAACACAGTGTTCCTGAGGGGGAGGAAAAAAAACATATATATAAACATAAGAAACCAACACCTCACCAGGCAGGCCTGAGCTACTGAGCACACAGGTACTTCTAGTACAGTGCAGGTCAGCAAGGGGACTTCTGGGAGAAGGTGACATCTGAGCAAAGCTCTGAGAGAGTCATAGTGTTCAGCATGTGAGGCTGCTCCACAGAGAAGAGGGGACAGCAGGGACAAAGGCAAGAGCACACAGAGAACCTCAGGCATTGGGCAGGGCCAGGGACAGAGTGTAAATGAGAGGGGGTTGAGGATGGAGAAGGCCCAGAGAAGGCCCAGAGGCTGGATGGCTCAGGCCTTCCTCAGAAATCAATGGGGAGCCATTGATGGGTTTTCAGCAGGGCAATATTGTTGTGTTCAGAGTTGACAGAAAGGTGGAGGCTGGGCTGGAGGGTGCAGCTAGAGGCCAGGAGACCAGTGATAAGGCCACTGAACTGGTGGCTGCCTGAACAGGGTCAGGGCAATGGGAATAGAAGTAAGTGTGGGATTCTAAGGATGTTTCTCAGATGGAATGGCCAGGTTGTAGGGACTATTGGCTAGGCTGATCCCAGCTGCTCCTTGTTCTGGGGGAGGGGCCAGAGTATTCAAACCGTGACTTCCAGAGCTCCTAAGGAAGGGGTCAGAACAGGGTGATGGCAGTCCCGCCCTCTTCCCTGTTCCCAGGAAATTAGATCAGAAAGCCTTTGGGATAGTTGGGGCCAGCCCCAAGAGAGGGCCTGGAGAGGGAAAGAGGCTGCAATGGGAGCATGGTGAGAACCAGCCTCCAGTGGCCTCTGTTCTCCTCCCATCAAGGGTCAGAACTAAGTGTCAGCTTTGGAAATCCAGGAGACCCAGCTCAGTCTGGACCTGAAAGCACAGTCCCCTGGGGCCAGCCATCCCAGAAATTCTGAGCTCTGAGCCTTCCCACTTGTTCCCTCAGATGTCCTCCTCCCAGAGGTAAAGACAGAACCCTCAAGGATCCAGCCCTGGGAGTCCAAGCACTGGATCCGGTGCTGGAGAAACAGGGACCCACCTGCCACCATCTCTGTCCTCAGCTACCCCAGCCCCTACGTCTACTGTCTACTCTGCCCTGAGTTTAGGGCCTTTTCTGCTGTAAGACCAACCCACAGAACTTTTTGTGTCTAATGCTTTGTCACAATATTTTTAGCCACCATCCCCTTGACAACTTTACATACCAGTATTATTCTCTGTGCTTTGACTGGATCTCCCATCAAAAAGCCCCTCCCATTAAAAAGTAGGTACTATCCAAAGTTTCAACTTCTAGATCAGCAGTCCCAACCACTGTGTGGCGACCCACAGGATCTGTATTAAAGGACCAGGGCATTAGGAAAGTTGAGAATCACTGCTTTCAATTCTGCCACCAATACAGCCTCATCTTTATCCAGGATAACACAGGTGACCACCATCTGAAGACCTCATGGCTCCAAACCATCAGGCCTTTGCTCATGCTCATGCCTAGAATTTTCTTCCCCTTTCATCTTCTGGCTGACCCAAACTCCAGGGGAAATATTTCCTTTTTTTTTTTGAGACAGAATCTCAGGTTGTCTCCCTTAGTAGAGTGCTGTGGCATCACAGCTCACAGCAACCTCCAGCTCTTGGGCTTAGGGGATTCTCTTGCCTCAGCCACCCAAGTAGCTGGGACTGCAGGCGCCAGCCACAACGCCAGGCTGTTTTGTTGTTGCAGTTTGGCTGGGGCCAGGTTTGAACCCGCCACCCTCAGTATATGGAGCCAGCATCATACTCACTGAGCCACAGGCACTGGCCAAAAATTGGTGATTTCGATTTTTAATTTTTATTTATTTATTTTGTGGTTTTTGGCCAGGGCTAGGTTTGAACCCACCACCTCTGGATATGGGGCCGGCGCCCTACTTCTTTGAGCCACAGGAGCCGCCCCCAGGGGAAATATTTCTAACGAAGTTTCCTGACAGTCACTCAGCACTTCTCAAGACAATTTCTGGATTTGTAATTTACCATTATCCAAGGGCTGATATGTCCATCCCGGCATCAGCCAGTGAGAGCCAGAGGCCAAAGACCAGGTCTGGCAGGTGCAGGGTGGTAGCCTCAGCTCCAGGCGAAAGTCTGCAGCTCGGCAGACCCTCCTTGACGTTCACCCACTGGGGCTGATGCCTGAACCAATGATGACCAGGGTCCTCTCTTCCCTCTTTTTCCTTTGGACACCTCCACATACACCACTTAGAGCCATGAAAACAGCATCGGAGCTAAAGGTCAGGAGGTCCCCGACAGCAGGAGACTCCAGGGGCCCGTGTGAGTTGCTTAGTGACCTCTGATTGGGTTGCCTGCCCAGGCGTGGGGATGTCTGAGAGTTCAGGAAGACCCCAGCTCCACCATGTACTCAAGGAAATACGGATTAAAACCCCCGTCTCCCATGGGGTTCCCACGACATAATTAGCCAAGTCCTGGCATACCAGGGCCATTCAACAAATGAGCGGTCCCCAGTCCCTCATCCCCATCTATCCACCCGTCATCACAGCCCCGCCTGCTAGTTGCCTGGACCCGCAGCTCTTACTGCAACCCTCTCAAATCCCGCCACCTGAAGGATCCTGGCCTGGGGGCCGGGGTGGGGGGGGGGGCGGTGGGACGCCCATTCCGTGGCCAAAGAACCCGAAAGGAGGAGAGTTTACTTATTCAGGAACACCTGGTGGAAAGGGAGCTGAGGAGAGGAAGGGTCGGGGGATTGTGAGTGCCTCTGCCCTTACCCCCACCTCCAACTCACGGTGCCACCTCCCGCGAGTGGGTTCCTGAAGTTTGCATCTCCCAGTCCCCGCCCCAGTCTCTCTGAGCGCCGCGCGGCCCTCCCCGTCGCGTTTCCTCCCCCGACCCCGCCCCGCAGCGCTATTTAAGGAGCTCTGGTCTGGTCGCTGTCAGGTCCAGCCGCGCTCAGGCGGACGCTGCTCTGGCATGGCCCCCAAATGCACATGCTCCTGCGCCTGCGCCTGTGCCGCCCGCAAGGCAGGCGGTGAGTTGGGGAGGAGGCAGGGGCGTCACCTGCCAGCGGGAGGTGGGACACGGGTGCCGCCGCAGTGGGGACTGAGGGTTGCTGCGGGACATGGAACGCCTGCCGCTCTCCCAGCTTGCCTTTGGCCAGGCTCTGTCCTAAATCGGGCTCTTACCGTCTTCTCCTGGAGTCCTTAGAGCGCCCTAGGAGGCGGGAATATTATTGTTTGCACTTGACCAGAGAGGAGACTGAAGAACTCCAAAGATTGATCTTACCCCAGGCCCCAGTTATAAGAGAGAGCTAAGATTTGAACCCAGGAAGGTTCCACAGCCTGGCTGTGGGCAGCCTGGTTGGCTTTTGAGAAAAGGAACCTCTCCCCACCCTCACTCCTTCCCCTACCTTCCTTCTCCCCTAGGGTTTTAGGAATCTGTGGCCTGTGCCTCCTCTACCCTGCCATGACAATTCCTTTCAAGAGCCTAGAATTTGTCAGCAACAGCTTTGGAGGGGAAGGGTGAGGGTGGAGGCAGAGGACAGGACCAAGTGTAACTACTTAGGTTGTTCCTTATTGCTGACCTGTGGAGCTAAGGGAAGATGCTGCCTTCAGCTTCTACAAACCCCTCACTGAAAGCTCAAAGGTTATAGTGAGGCTAGTGGGATGAGATATAGGAGTTGGTGGCAGGGACCTGAGACTTTGAGTGCATAAGAACCTGCTGATAACATCTCTACTAACATCCCCCACGGTCTGGAGGTCCCCAGCCTTGAGTAAAAGAGAGGAGGGGCAGGACACCTGTGCTACCTTGGATAAGGCCCTCAAATTCTCTGCTTCCATAGGCAAAGGATACTCAACTTCATCCACATCTCCTTGGCTGTGGCCATCTGGGGCTCTGGCTAGGGTCAAGAAGGACATGGATGTGATTAGGCAGGGACCCCAACCATACTAAAACCATTCAGAGAAGCAGATGGAGGTCATGAAAAGAGCATGGCAGCCATCCTCCAAAGATCCACTTTCAGTCCCACTGGCCCTGCAGAGCGTGAGCACCCAGGCCAGTCCTTCACCTTCCTGAGTCTGGGAATCCTTGGAGGTAGAGTGGGCATGGCAGCCCTCCTGCAGGTTTGCTGCCAGGGCCAACTGAGAATGATGCTGCACTGACATGCCGATGCTCTGTCTCCTTGCAGATGAAAGCCCGCAAAGCATGGGTGCCTGGGACTACCTCTTGTACCTGTTGAACGAGGTCAAGAAGAATTCTAATGTGGTAGGCAAGATCTGGCTGACGGTGCTCTTCATCTTCCGCATCTTCATCCTCCAGGTGGCTGGCAAGTCCGTGTGGGGTGACGAGCGGTCCGATTTCAACTGTAACACGGCTCAGCCGGGCTGCACCAATGTCTGCTATGACCAGGCCTTCCCCATCTCCCACATCCGCTACTGGGTGCTGCAATTCCTCTTTGTCAGCACCCCCACCCTGGTCTACCTGGGCCACATCCTGTACCTGTCTCCAAAGAAGGAACAGCAGCAGCAGAAGGAGAGGGAGCAGCAGGAACCACAGGTGGAAGAGGCACTGGTACCAAAAGATGGTTGCCTGCGGATCCCTGGAGCACTGACGAGAACTTATGTGGCCACTGTGCTCTGTAAGAGCATGCTAGAGGCAGGCTTCCTCTATGGCCAGTGGCGCCTCTATGGCTGGACCATGGAGCCTGTGTTTGTGTGCCAGCGAGCACCCTGTCCCTACCTCGTGGAATGCTTTGTCTCTCGCCCCACAGAGAAGACCATCTTCATGATCTTCATGCTAGTGATTGGTCTCATCTCCCTGGTGCTGAACCTACTGGAGCTGGTGCACCTGCTGCGTCTATGCTTCAGCCAGGAGAGGAAGGCCCGCCAGAATGCCCCCCCCATCCCTGTGAAGAGCAGCCTGTGAGACTGGCAGGGCCCCCACAGCCTCAGGAACATTCAGGGAATGAACCCTGAACTGCTTCTCCTCATTCCCTAAACAGCCATATTCCTTTCTTCATGCTCCCTCTGCCAGAAGTCACATAGCTCTCTCTTTGTCCAGTTAACTATGCAGAGACCCTTGTGATTTTTGCCTTTCTACTTCTTGTAATATGTTAATGAAGTTGAGCAGACACTACTAAGTCACAGTTCTTCCTTTGTTTTGTCAATGATGCTGAGATACTCCTGATCTTCCCTTCTTACTTCTTGTCACGTGTAGAGTAGAAACCATTAACAAGATGATTTATCTTTATTAAAGTCATTTATATTTTCCAGTTGTACTGTAATACCAAAATTATGTCTTTTGTTTATGCTATTTCCCCATATTGTCTATGCTACTTCCCTCTGGACAACCCTGTTCAGGTACTGTAAAATAAAGCTGACTTTGTGCTTTGGTGCTGGCTGTAGGCATCAGCTCAGTCAGTGCTCCTGATCCCATCCTTTGTTGCTGTCTCTTATGCTGTGTTTTTCTCAGTCCCACCAATTCCACTCTGGTTCTTTCCCCTATCCCACACTGGTTCATGACACATACCAGGGTCCCTCCTCAGAACAGTTCTTCTACCTCTTCCCCATGGGCCAGAAGCCCTCATCCCCATCATACCCCACCTACAATGGCTTCTCATTCAGTGAGCTGAACTGGGCCAGCATGACCACAGAGGAGAGGCCGGTTTCTTCCAGGCCACCCCTCTTCCTGGATCTATCCCCACCCCAGAGTGGCCAGAAATCCTCCAGTCGCCCAAGCAGCTATGTCCAAGAAGCAGTATATGGAGCACCTGGGGCTTAGGTCACCCAACAAGAGGGGTCCTGAGAAGTCTGGCTGCCTCGGGTGCCCCTCCTTGAAGCCTCTGTAGTGACTAGACTGGGGAAGCAGATGCTTGCTTACCGGGGGACCCCATTATAGGTTGTTCTTGAACACCTGGGGCCTTTCTGGTGACCAGAGGCACTGTGACTTCTGTCCACATGTGGCTTTGTCCCAAGCACAGAGCAAGCCACCTTTTGGTTAGGGTATTGTGGGCCTTCTAGCCTTTTTCACCTGATTGAGAGGGACTCAGAGCTAACTCATGCCAACCCTACCCTCATGGAAGATTAGCCTGTCCAGGCTGTCCTCACAGGGATCAGGGCTTCTGGGTCAGCCTTGCTCATGCAGATAGAGTCTGTGTTGGATCTCACCTGTCAGGGACTGCTGCCTCATCTTCCTCACTCCTTCCTAGTTCCACTGTTTATGTTTCTAAAATAAACAAGACTTGATCACAAGCTAGGTGTGTATTGACACTGTCATGGTGTGCCTCAGGGTGCGGCACAGGTGGATAGCTATTTTGATCAGGCTTTTTCTTTTTGTCAGATTATATGACAGCTCCAGGTCCAGCCAGTACCTTAAACCTTCAACAACCATGAATCCTAAGTGTTCTGTCTTTTGAAATGCCTTGGCTACCATACTCTTCTTTTCATCCCCACTGCCCTGGACTATTACTCAGTGGCCAAAGCAGCATCCATGCCCTGCCTGCCCCTTGCCCAACTAGTGCCCTGTCTGCACAACCCCCAACAATATGCTTCCTTGCTAGACAGTTTGCTCTCCTAGCAAGCCTGTCAGCTGAGCCCATCACACTCCAATTCCTACAGGCTCTGCATTCCCACCTTATCCTGGACTCCTTTGTGTTTCAGAAGGGAGTGTCTGCATCCCACCCCAAAAGCAAGGTCCCCTAAGACAGGTGGAAACTGGCAGAAATCAACTGAAGAAATAGAAACAATGGTAAAGAAAGAGACATCAGACATACAGTAGAATTAATGGGTGGGAGCTCAAGGGTCCATTGTCCGTTTGTGGGATGCTGGCAATGGACCAGAGTGTCTGCTCCACTCTAATTTTATTGAAGTCTATTTGTCCAAAGGGTAAGATGAGAGAGAGAACAAAATCACAAGCAGTTTCTCTGAAAAAGCATATCAACTCTTATTGTTATTATCATTAACTTCAAGGGTAGCCTTCAGAAATCTAAAACTGAGCCTTGTATCAGGAGAGCCTCCTGCTTGAGATCTCACACACACAAATTTCTAGGGAGGTGGGTGTGAAACTCCACTAGTTCTCTGTGGAGTAAAACTCCACCAGCCTTAATGGCCTCTGAGGACTTGCTGGGAGGGAGGCATTTTCCTCCTATCACCACCACAGAGGATCTCCCTCTGAAGTGAGGGATATAAACTCTTCTGACCATATCTTAAGGCTCAAGCTACTCCCTTGGTCTCTGCCCCTGCCAAATGCAAATCTCCATAATGGCTTTCTGCTTCACCTGTTTGATGGCCAGGAAACGCCCTAGAAGGTGTATCTTTTGCTAGGACTTGCCAAAGTCGCTTCTATGGCCATTATTTTCCTCAGAATGCTCACAGACCCAGCAGGGTGTTGTAAGCTGTATCCCCAACAGACTAGAATTTCAGAAAAGGGAAGAAGCTTGCTAGCAATGGCTAGTGTAATTATAAACTAGCTGACTTTTATTTGTTTTGACTTACTCAGCTCACTTTTTAATTTTCCTCTTTTTCTGGGGGTTCTTTCCCTTGCCAAGAATGCTGTCTTTGTTCCCCATTCCCCCTGCATCTCACCCTTTTCTATTTTTATTCTGAAAAATAGCAAGGGCCACCATTAATCCATTGTGATGGTTGTTTTCTTTTCTCACATCTTTTTCTTTTTTTCTTGGCTGTCTTCTGCTCTTTTTGATTCAGGTTCATGATTGAGCTTAATAAATCTTCATGGTGGCTCGGCGCCTATGGCTCAAGCAGTTAAGGCGTCAGCCACATACACCTAAGGTGGCGGGTTTGAATCCAGCTGGGCCCGCCAAACAACAATGACAGCTGCAACAAAATAAATAAATAAATAAATAAATAAATCTTCATGGAACCCAGACAAAATCAGAGTCATCTCCTGTGAAAATATAAGCAAAGCCATTTCCCCATAAAACAATTTCACATTTTCTCCATTGCTGAGTTCTGACATCCTTCCAACATACCAAAGATTTTCCCTTTGGCGTCAATTGTTTCCCTATGATGTGCTGCTCTGCAGCTGTAAATGGCTGTGTTTGGGGATAATTTAAGAAATTTAAAGTAGGGCAGTGCCTGTGGCTCACTGGGTAAGGTACCGGCCAATATACCAAGGGTGGCAGGTTCAAACCCAGCCCTGGCCAAACTGCAACAACAAAAAAAATATATCAGGCATTGTGGTGGGTGCCTGTAGTCCCAGCTACTTCAGAGGCTGAGGCAAGAGAATCACTTAAGCTCAAGAGATGGAGGGTGAAAGAAATTTAAAGTGAAAAGGGCTTATTTAATTCTATTTGTGGGGAGTTATGTAATTCTCCATTCCTATCTCCCCCATTTTTTGGTTAGTTTTTGTTTTTCTAATTGATCTTTTAGGGTTCTATTATCTCTAATTGGTTGGAATTAGGTAAGGATGGATGAATCCAATTTATATCACATAATCATTTATGAAAATCATTAAGAGTATGGGAGGTGCCTGTGGCTCAAAGGAGTAGGGCTCTGGCCCCATATGCTGGAGGTGGTGGGTTCATACCCAGCCCTGGCCAAAAACTGCAAAAAAAAAAAAAAAGAAAGAAAGAAAATTATTAAGAGTATTAAGTTTGTCTTTTCTAATTTGTACTTTTTTGAGGTCTTATAAAATCATCTTCAAGCCTCATGCCAAGATACTGCTATAGAGAGGCAGTCTGAATTTTATCACTAGCAATAATTAATCCTGCCTGGGTGATGGCTGTTTGTAACTCCTCAAAACATGCAATTAATTTATAGCAAGTAGGTTGCAGCACAAAGGATGTCATCCATATAGTGAATAATATAACACAGCTATCTGATAGGGGAAAGAATTTGCCCCACATATAGTTGACAAATAGTAGGGCTATGGAGCATCCCCTGGGGGAGTACTTTCCACTGATATCTCACTGTTGGTTCCTGATTATTTATTTGGGGAATACTGAAAGCAAACTTTTCACAATCAGAGGGAGCCAAAGGAATATTAACAAAAAAAAATCTTTTAAATCTACTGTTATTAAAGGCCAGTGTTTAGGTATCACTACTGCAGAGAACAATCCAGGTTGTAACATCCCTATGGGTTGAATAATAGCATTAATGGCTCTTAAGTCTATAAACATACTGCCATTTGCCATTTGATTTCTTTTGAATGACAAAAATAGGTGAGTTCCATGGAGATAAAGAAGATTCCATATGACTAGCTTGAAGCTGTTCTTTTACTAAGGTTGTCCAAGCCTCCAGCTTAAGTTTTGGTAGCAGCCACTGCTCCACCCAAATAGGGTTCTGGGTTTTCTAATTCAAAGGAATGGGTGCAGGAGGCTTAGCAGTGACCACTCCTGTAAAGGGTACCCCAAACCTCTTTGGTTACTGTTACTTTACGGGTAATAGGAGTAATAATACCATCCTCCTTTCTTCTTAAAGCCTTTCCTGGTGTAAATCCCATTTTTTTTTCAATATATTTTGACTCAGAGGACTGTAATTTGCAAGAGGAGAGGCAATTTCTGTGTCCCATTCTTAAAGTAAGTCTTGGCCGCATAAGATAACTGGAACGGGCACAACCATAAGCTCAATAGTACTTTTCTGTCCTTTGGGGCCTTCACAATTTAAAATCATGACACTTTGAGAGACTTTGTCAGGCATGCCAACTCCTATTCATCCAATTTCAGGAGTTTGGGTGGCCCAGTGTAGAGGCCATTGTTTATCTGAGATAACAGAAATGTCTGCTTCAGTATCTAGAATGCCTGAAAAAGTATTTCCATTGATGGTGATTATATATAAAGGCCTTCCTTCTGCAATTTGTTCCATCCAATAAGTGGCCTTAACGGTTGGGTCAGTACTTCCAAAACCACCAGATCACTTCTGATTAGAAGTTCTGCTCTTTATATAAGGGGAAAGTAATAATTGAGTTATATGGCCTCCTGCCATATGGCCTCCTGCTGACCAGATCACATTCTCCACACATGGGGCAGGTGTCCTACACAGAAGGAGCTGAGTCTGCCCCATAGGCTGTTCTCAGCACAGTAGCCAGGGGACCCTGTCAAAGTCTAAATCAGGCATGTCACTCCTCTGTCAAAACCTCCAAAGTCATCTTACCAAGACCTTCGAGGGCCCCCAAGATCTGCCCCACCCCACGCCTCACCTGCTGCCTTTCTAACCTCTCCTCTCCTTCTTACTCACCTGCTCCAGCCCCACTGACCAGGCACACTCCTGCCACAGGACTGCAGCACAGCTCGGCTGCAGTGAGGATTTCTTTTCTCTTCTATTTGAAGATGAAACTTACCAGCCCCTGCACTCTCAACTCCCCCTGCCCTATTTTCCCCACAGTATTTATCAGTATCTAACATGTTCTGTATTTTCTTGTCTGCCTTCCCCCAGCTAGAAGCACAGTTCCTCAGGACAGGGATTTTTTTATTGTTTCCTGGTTGATCTCCAGTATCCAGGACAGTGCCACAACCCACACACAGTGCTCAGTAAATATTTGTTGAATTAATAAATTCATATACCAGCCTGGTGCTGTGCTAGGCAGTGGGGGTGTAAATAAGACTCAGCTACCTGCCCTCAAGGGGCTCACAGTCTGAGGAGGGAAGGGTGTAAAGACAAGTAAACAATGCTCTGA